AGTGAGACCAGCTATGCTGTATGGGTTAGAGACTGTAGCAGTGAGGAAAAGACAAGAGGCAGAGATGGAGGTAGCAGAGATGAGGATGTTGAGGTTCTCTTTAGGAGTGACCAGGATGGACAGGATTAGGAATGAGCACATCAGAGGGACAGCTCAGGTTGGCTGTTTTGGGGACAAGGTCAGAGAGGCCAGATTGAGATGGTTTGGACATGTGCAGAGGAGGGATAGTGGTTATATTGGTAGAAGGATGTTGGAGATGGAGCTGCCAGGCAAAAGGTCAAAAGAGTAAGGCCATAGAGGAGATATGTGGATGTGCTAAAATAGGACATGAAGTTAATTGGTGTGAGAGTAGAGGATGCTGAGGATAGAGTTAGGTGGAAGCAGATGATTGGCTGTGGCGACCCTTAACGTTAATAGCCGAAAGAAGATGATTTGATTTGTCTTTGTAGAGACACTGTCTGATATGTGCAGCAGCACTGATGGCTTCAATATGATGAGAACTTTACTAGGTGGTCTGTAGTTTTTGTTTGTAATGTTTCGACCTTTTTTTAATTTTGGATCTCCAATTGGAATTTCAGAATCCACCTTATTGACCCTGTGTGTTGGACACACGAGCAGTTTGACTGTTATAGTGGCTCTCAATGTGTATGTACGATCGTCTTCCATAAAGCAATGATTCGACAATTAAGCAAGGCTGATCAAATAAAAAAAGAAAAATGTGCAAACAAGCAAAAGGAATGTGCATTAGGAAAATGAAAATAAAGTAATTTGTAAGTAGAGATGGGTTGGAGAGGATGGCAAAGGTACAGTGCATACTACTGATGAACCAGCAACTTGAGTTGGAATCTCCTTCAAATTCTGCTTTCGCTTGAAGTTACTTCAAAGTTTTGTTCTTAGGTTTTGCTGTGAGAGTCGACAGAATTATAAGAGAACTTAATGCTCTAGTCACAAAACTGGGTGTTGTGCTAGAAAATCAGATAAAAAAAAAAAAAAAGTTAGCTGGTAAGATTTTACTGATAATGTATTAGTGTACCCGGCCCCGGATAAGCGAAAGAAAATGGATGGATGGATATTAGTGTACAGTATATGCAGTTACAGTCTATAGGGACATAATGGGGAGCAGAGTTAGAGAGAGAGGGACAGAAACAGCGTAAATGCTTGCCAGAAGTTGGAGGTTTTAACTCGTATTTAAATGAAGTGGTCATTGCAATTCACATCTGCCCCCTTCCCCCACCAACTTTTTGATTGAGTACGACAGAAAAGAATCACAGCCAGATAGACTGATACATGCCACACTGTTGTATTTTTAACACTATATGTACAGTTTTAGAATATTTTGCATGCCTGTTTTAATCATGCAGTCTTTGCTCCACAGGGGATCAGAGGAGATGACCGGTGATATCAACGACTCCATTGACTTTGTCCTTTTGAACTTTGCGGAAATGAACAAGTTATGGGTTCGAATGCAGCATCAGGGTCACAGCCGAGACAGAGAGAAGCGAGAAAAGGAGCGACAAGAACTTAGGATTCTGGTGGGCACTAACCTAGTTCGCCTCAGCCAACTGGAGGGGGTCAACGTGGACAAGTACAAACAGGTGTGTGTTTGTGTGTAATAAGTAGTTGTCAAGAGATTCCCTGACTTACTGATTGGTCTGTAGTGAAGCAGCCAGAGCTAATGTTAGTTTATTCAGACTGATACTACAGGCTGTGAATTTTACAGGTCTTAATTTAGAGCAATTAAAAGGTATGTTTGGGATCTTTGAAGCTGATCTTAAAACAACATTGATATACCCATATGTACATGAGAATATGTATTGGTTGTAACTTTTCCATTTTCCTCACCAGCCCCAATTGTTTTCACATGGAATACGGCAACACTGCTAAAAATAAGGGCCAAATGCAAAGCCTTTATTCTGTGCAAAAATACATTTGAGTTCCTCCGAAGCGCAAATGCAGTTCTACTTGTTTCACTAAGCTAATTCAAGTCAGTGTTTTTCAAAGTCATAGTATATTTAAGAAATATTTCCCTTTTGTTTCCCAGGATAGTAGTTTGCTGCAGCAGAGGGATGCATAGTAGTAGTATGTAAGTGGAAATGGCTTTTTTAAATCACATAAATGCATTCATTATCAGATACTGAAACCACAACTTGGTCCTGTCGTGATTAGGGGTGGAATGGTTCACAAAATTTACATATCATGGTTCTGAGGGTCATGGTTTTTGGTTCGGATTGATAAATGTTTGCCTTAAAATTCTAGTTAAGAGTGTAAGGATAAAATTTTTAGGTGCGTCACCCAATAGATGAAATTCCATTCTTTCAAATGTGTCACTTAACACTGAGCGTGTAAGAGTCGTTATTTTTTATATTTTTTTTAAGGTTCGGGTCTATATCTGGTTAGTGATGTATTTTAGACTCTATACTGTTACATCGCTGTACACAAAGTTAGCATTACCTAGAAATTAACCTCAACTGTGACTCAGTCAGCAGTCCTGTTAAAAGTCTTAAGGTGTTTTCACACTTGGTCCTGTAATACCCCAGTTCTTTAATTGGATAGTTCTGAATAACAGAGGAGTCCGTCTTTCTTCATTTAGTGCTGATTTATTTTAAACCACAAGTAAAAATTACAGACACGACCCGGGTTGCTCCCCCCTCCCAAGACACACACACTGGCTGCTGGAGAAAGGAGTCCCTGGCCACACAAAGCCTAATACATTTCTAAGTTTTGGGCTAACCCCTTACACAGAAAGATTACAGAACTCCAGATGAAGTCAGTCCGGAGACTCCATCTCTTATCTAGAGCTTCACATGCTTGGAGCTACTGTGTCTACCCTAGTCATAACAAAATGAAGAATCCCAATGTGTGTGTATGTTGTCATGTGGTGCATAGCTAAGGCATTCAGTCATTTATTCAGACATAATATTCTAACACAAGGTATAATACAAGAAAACAATTGATGCCATGGTTCACTTTTCAGAATCAACATTCTGTCTGCTAACCTTGAAACAAAACAGACTAGAGCAGACTTTTTAAATCTTACTAAATTGCATTAATAACACATTAAGATCTACAGTCATGTGAAAAAATTAGGACACCCTTTGAAAGCATGTGTATTTTGTAACATGTTTTAATATATGGTTATTTAATCTCAATTTTAACAATACAGAGAGATTAAAGTAATACAACTAAACAAGTAAAACTGAAGAAAAGTCTTTTCAAGATCTTCTGTAAATGTAATTCTACAAAAATGCCTATTCCAACTGAGGAAAAAGTTAGCACACCCTCACATGTATGCCCTCTTAAAATGGCTCAAATCACACACAGGTATATCACACCAGGTGCACATAATTAGTAGATCGTTACTCAGCATTTTGAATGAGGCTTGCCCCATCTACACCTCCAACCTTTAGTTTGGTGTGCTCCTGACTGTTGAAGTGAGAGTGAGCACCATGGTGAGAGCAAAAGAGCTGTCAGAGGCCTTCAGAAAAAACATTGTAGCAGCCTATGAGTCTGGTAAGGGATTTAAAAAGATCTCAAAAGATTTTGAAATCAGCCATTCCACTGTCCGGAAGATAGTCTACAAGTGGAGGGCTTTCAAAACAACTGCCAACATGCCCAGGTCTGGTCGCCCCAGCAAGTTCACCCCCAGAGCAGACCGCAAGATGCTAAAAGAGGTCTCCAAAAACCCTAAAATGTCATCTCGAGACCTACAGCAGGCTTTGGCTACTGTTGATGTAGAAGTGCATGCCTCTACAATCAGAAAGAGACTGCACAAGTTTAACTTGCATGGGAGGCGTGCAAGGAGGAAACCTTTGCTCTCTAAGAGAAACATCAAGGCCAGACTGACATTTGCCAGAGAGAATGTTGACAAAGACCAGGACTTCTGGAATAATGTTCTTTGGACAGATGAGTCCAAAATTGAATTATTTGGACACCAGAGCAGAGGACATGTTTGGCGTAAACCAAACATAGCATTCCAGGAAAAGAACCTCATACCAACTGTGAAGCATGGAGGTGGAAGTGTCATGGTTTGGGGCTGCTTTGCTGCAGCAGGACCTGGTCAGCTCACCATCATAGAATCCACCATGAATTCTACTGTGTATCAGAAGGTGCTTGAAGAACATGTGAGACCATCGGTTAGAAAATTAAAGCTGAAGCGGAACTGGACCATGCAACATGACAATGACCCAAAACATACTAGTAAATCAACCAAAGACTGGCTGAAAAAGAAGAAATGGAGAGTCCTGGAATGGCCGAGTCAAAGTCCAGACCTGAATCCCATTGAGATGCTGTGGGGTGACTTGAAAAGGGCTGTACATGCAAGAAACCCCTCAAACATCTCACAGCTGAAACAATTCTGCATTGAGGAGTGGGATAAAATTCCCTCAGACCGATGTCAGAGACTATTAGATGGCTACAAGAACCGTCTCACTGCAGTTATTTCAGCCAAAGGAGGTAACACTAGCTATTAGGGGCTAGGGTGTGCTAACTTTTTCCTCAGTTGGAATAGGCATTTTTGTAGAATTACATTTACAGAAGATCTTGAAAAGACTTTTCTTCAGTTTTACTTGTTTAGTTGTATTACTTTAATCTCTCTGTATTGTTAAAATTGAGATTAAATAACCATATATTAAAACATGTTACAAAATACACATGCTTTCAAAGGGTGTGCTAATTTTTTCACATGACTGTAACAGTCAGATCTTTCAGCTCTCAAAACAAACTCAGAGTGATTAGTCAGCATTTTCTGTGTAAATGTGAACACTCCAAATAAACTCAGTTCCCTCTGAAACAAAAGCAGCTGAGACCCTCCCAGGAGGTTGTCACAGTTTGCTTAGTTTTAAGTCTGTGATGCAGTTCACTTAATCTGTGCGTAGTGAACATGATCCAGCTTCGCTTCTAGTCTTTTGCATGTAAGGGTGGAAACACCAACAATCTGGTGGAAGTTCATCGTGGATTGAGAAATGCAGTTTTCCACTGACTAGCTCATAGTCCATCCATCCATCCATTTTCCTCTGCTTATCTGGGACCGGGTCACGGGGGCAGCAGTCTAAGTAAAGATGCCCAGACTTCCCTTTCTCCAGACACTTCCTCCAGCTCCTCCGGGGGAATGCC